CTTTCTTTCCAGGCTCCAGTTTCTAGCAGGCTTTCATTTTTGCTTTGCTATGGGGATAATTTCTTGAAACCCCTATTTCCTTGTTCACTAGTATTTGAGCTGATATAGAAAGTTCAAACTCAGCCTCAGCATTCACAGAAGCCAGCATGTTGAAGTATTTGAGGTACCAAACATATCTCCTCCCCTCACAGGTTCTAAGCAACAGTGGGTGGCAGGGCGGGGGAATGCAAGAATCAAGTAAGTTCAAAGTATCTGTTTTGGCTGGAGGCTAATTTGGAGTCTGTGGTTGGGACCTGAATATAAATTTGGCTCTTTAATACATCCCTCTAGTCCCCAGGTAACTCACCACCTGTTGCTGGCAGGCTGTTTGAGAAAGCAAGAGCCAAAATTGAGATACTATCCTTGCTCTGCACTATATGCCACTACTTTTTCTTTGCAGAAAAGGAGGGGGGTGGTGTTGCCATGCTAATACTTTTAAAAGCATAGAAGTTTCTGTTTTATAAACAGTTGTTTTATTATTTTATTTTTGGCCATGCTGCGAGACATGTGGGATCTTGGTTCCCCAGCTAGGGACCAAACCTGTGCCCCCTGCAGTGGAAGAGCAGAATCTTAACTACTAGACTGCCAGAGAAGTCCCTTATAAGCAGTTAGAAATAGAAAGAGAGGAAGAAAGTGGTTCCACAAAGAGTTCTTCCTGCCTGGTGCCCTCACCTAAACCTCTTTGTACTGAGGTGACATCTCCCATAATGCACTTTGCCACCCCCAGGCGCCCCATCCTCACCACCCAGCATTTACCGGGACTGTGAGGTCTCTGTATAGACGTGGAAAGCTGTGGAGGCAGGAGGGCTGAGGAGGAACCATTCTTAGTTCTCATCAGAGAGAAGCAGCCAAGGGGTAATCAAAGGGATGACCGACTTGAGTTTTGGTGGACACAGTCCCTGTGTTTGGAAAGAAGACAGTCAGTGGGGAGTGTGTGATGCATTCATATTATCTTCTCTCAGACGGTCTCCATTCAAGGACATCCTGGCTTTGCTGTGAATTCAAGTTTAGTAGGCTTTTCCGATCTGACTGATCTGCCTTGTAATTGGCCGCATGGGCTTGTTTATTAAGCTTTGATACTTTTCATGAGTTCTTAATCTTTTTCCGTACCTTCAGAAGTTGCAGTTTAGGTACTTTAAGGTAGAATCTCTTCTCTCTTTTCTCATCTCTTCCCCTGATTCCCGGTGCTCCTTTCTCCTGGTTCTCTAGCCTCTGGTTGGCAAATCACTCCTGTTCAGGCTTTTTGTTTTTGTTTTTAAACTCCATCCACTTGTCATGCTTTTCCTTTGATGTTTGCTTGGTCTGAGGCTCTGTCCTATGCCTTAGCGTCATTTCAGCTCACCATTCTCCTCTTGAGCTTATCTACTCCAATATCTTCAACTAGCACATGTACTTGAGGCTGATCCCCAAATGTGTAATTATTTCCCAAACCTCTCTTTTGAGCCCCAGACCCATATCTTAAGCCATTTACTAGACACTGTCCCCACCTGCACCTCATACTCAATGGACCAAAACCAAAATTCATCATGTATCCCTCAAACTGACTCCATTTCCTTTATTCTACATTTTGGTAAATTATACCTACATCACTCAGGCTAGCCATGTGACTATAATATTCATGAGAGCGTGGATCCAATTGGTTACCAAGTCCTAGCGATACCACCTTTCTAATGTATTTCAGATCTTTTTTTATCCTTCTTCACTGCTACCACCTTTCAGTTCAGTCGCTCAGTCGTGTCTGACTCTGCGACCCCATGGACTGCAGCACGCCAGGCTTCCCTGTCCAGCACCAACTCCCGGAGTTTGCTCAAACTCATGTCCATAGAGTCAGTGATGCCATCCAACCATCTTATCCTCTGCCATCCATTTCTCCTCCTGCCTTCAATCCTGCTACTAGAACCTATATAAGTTCAGGGTTTTCTTGTTAGTTTCAAACAACAGAAATGAACTGATTAAACAAAACAAGGGATTTATTTGAAAAGACATTGGAAAGGCTGACAAAGTTGAAGGGAGAGCTGAATAACCCTACTTCAGGAAGCATAGATCTGGGGCATCTCTAGGGGCCTTGGCAGGTGGAGCTCAGACTTTCTGTCTGTGACACGGCATTGGGTAACTCAGCTGCAATCATCTTTCATCTCTCTGTCTTTATCAAACTTTCAGATTCCTAGTAGAGAAAATCTGGTTGGCCATCTTTGAGTAAGTCATCCAGGATTAGGGGTGAGTGGCACAAGTTTGTGACTACTATAGACTCTTATAACTTCTCAACCCTTCCTCAGTACTGTCATAGCCTTCTCAAAGTCCTCTTCATCTTTCCAATCTATAGTTCACACCACCATCACTTTCATATTTTAAAAATATATCTTGTTCAAAGTATCCCTACTTAACAACCCTCCGTAGTGCTTCATTATTCAGAAAATAACCTGTAAGTTTCTTCTAAAGACTTCAGTCTAGGATTTGGATCCTGGCTTTCTCTCCAGTCTCATCTCTTGCTACCTTTTCATGAAATCTTACCTTCCAGGCATACTGTGGTTACCGGCAATGCTCCTAAACAAGTCATGCCTTGTTCTGTGTTCATGTTTTTGTGTGTGTTCCTCCCTCATCCTCCCTCTCTTCTTTTCACCTGGTCAATACATTCATCTTTCCAGACTCAGTTTAGAGATTAGTTCCAAACCTCGTCCTGTCTCTTATTACCCAAGTTAAGTCCTCTTCCCCTCTACTCCACTAGATCCTGAATTTATCTCTAACATACACATTGCAATGTTACACTCAGCTCTCTCCTTGTCTTCTTCTTGGTTAAAAAATGAGCTCCTTGAGGTTGAAGACTACATCTAATTTATATTTGGTTTCCACTACCTAGAATGGTGCCTAACAGGTCACAGATGTTTGATAAATATATTGAAATAAATAAAACTGATTTTGAATGCCTGATATAAAGCAGAGCTAGGAGGCAAACACCCTACATATAAGAAAAGCACATGCAGAGCAACAATTTATTATGTAATTGCAGCTCAAGAAAAACAGAACCTGCAGGCTAGAGTGTGAGATTGGATTGATATGAAAAGTCTTCTCCCAAGAAGAAAAGTCTGAGAAGTAACACAAAGAAAGAGGAAGACTCAAATGGTTGAAGAGGTTGGGAAGAGAGTTTGGAGTTTGGAGAATAAGAGAAATAAATGCTTACTTTATAAATGTGTTTGAGGGATAGGCTAAAACCATTGGCTAGGCAGAGTCTGATTAAGATACAGTGAAAATACATCCTTACTGTATTGCACAGGGAACTATATTCAATATCCTCCAAAATGGAAAATAATATGAAAAGAATATATATGTATATATATATATACATATATATATATATAAAACTGAATCACTTTGCTATACAGTAGAAATTAGCACAACATTATAAATCAATGATACTTCAATAAAATTTTTCTAAAGATGTAGTGAAAAAATCAGTCTGTGGTATGTTGGGGAATCATAGGTTAGAAAAACAAGTTGGAGCAGATTGTAGCAGATTTTGTTTAAAATCTCTGGGCTTTCCATTCTCTGACTCCAACATAGAACACTTCAGCATTCTAGACTGCCTTTTCATCACAAACACACTGTGCCTCCTCTAGAATATTTTGAAAATGGACAGTTTCCAGGTCAAGGAATTCCCCCTTCCCCCCTGAACTAAGATTTCCCTATGTCCTTCAAGGTACTGTACACTAGATCTTTCTATTCTTATTTTAGATGAAGTGTGTGTGTTTGTGTGATGTTTTTCCCCACCCTGGGTTGCAGACAAGCAGCAGAAGCCTTGCACCCCACCCCACCCCACCCCCATTTGCTGGCTTCTATTTATTTTAGTTTCAATCTAAACATGAGCTAGACCCACAATTCCAGAAAAACTAGACATGAGAAAAGGATGAAAAGCTTACTAGTCTGTTTCCCTTGAAGGGGATTTGCAGAGTTTAGCTCAGTTTAGTTATCACTGGACAGTACATTTAGTGTTCATGTCTAGACAAACTGCAAACAATCACCTATGGACACTACTATTACTAATACAGTCTTTCCTCCAAACTCATAACCTTTATTGGCGCTTGGGCTAATAGGCCTTACTGCAGAGTCAGACACGACTGAGTGACTGAACTGAACTGAACTGAAACCTCTACTTAATTGTCAGAAGGAAGTGAAGCCACTCAGTTGTGTCCGACTCTTTGCGACCCTTTGGACAGTAGCCCATCAGACTTCTCCATCCATGGGATTTTCCAGGCAAGAGTACTGGAGTGGGTTGCCATTTCCTTCTCCAATTTAATTGTCTGGGTCTCCTTAATTTGACCTCATTCTACCTCTCCACTTTTATATGTTGTTACTTCAAACAACAATAGCAAAAAAAAAAAAAACAAAAACAAAAACAAAACCAAAATAACCTTCCAGTCAGGCCTAATAACTGGAAAAATATCATATTGAGAGGGGAGGTATATAGTACAGAATGGCTACTCCTCCAAATTTCACCCATGACTGACACATGAATTTTTTTTAAGGTCTTTATGTAGGTAAATTTCACCACTATCATGGAGTTGGAATGTCACCTTTAAATCATATTGTCAACTCCATTTTTCACAGATGAGGAAATTGAGGCCCCAAGAAATGAATTGATTTACCTAATATGTTAGCATGTAGTTGTCATTATTTTTTCACATGTAACAATCACTTCCTCTTCCCTCCCTGCATTTACCAACTAAAGTTAAGTTCTTGAGGGCAAGGATCATCACATCTCATGCATTTTCTGTACTCACAAGGGCACTGCTGTCTCCTCTTGTTTCCCATCCAGGATCAAGAATGGGGCTGAGCACACAGAATGTGCTAAGAAGAGAATGTTTGCATTGAACTGAACCCCTGCAGAACGTGGACGATTTAGAGGCACGGAGTTTGGCCTCTCGGTGACTACTTGCCTCAGCTGGCCCACTTAGCAGTGAACAGCAATGGGCCAAAGGAGACAGACCAAGTGTGTAGTCTTGTTTGCCCAACTAAGTTATAACTACCTTCCTATACAGACTTATTTTGTAGCCCATATCACTTTGAACAGTACTAGTCACAGAGTAGATACTCAACAACATTTTAGAGACTTCTTTGGTGAGCCAGTGGTTAAAACTCTGTGCTTCCACTGCAGGGAGCACGAGTTTTATCCCTAATCAGGGAACTAAGATCCTGCATGCTACGTGGCATGGTCAAAAAATAGAAAAAAAAATTTTTTTTAATACAACATTTTAATTGACAGTTCTCAGATCAATAATCAGATCTTGGGCTGTGTTCCATGCAGCAACTAGAGTAGCTTTACCAAAAAGAAAGCACCAGGCTGTCAAAGATGGACACTGCTGGGTTGAAGGAGCATTTTCAGGTTGATCTATGCCTTAAATTGGCCTTGAACAAGAGCATCTGGGATCTTCTGCTGCCTTTTAGATAACAAAGAATCATTTTGAAAAGTGCTACAATAAAGCTGATAATATAGTGGGGATTTTTGTTTTTCTATCTTTATTTTTAATTGGAGAATAATTGCCTTACAACATTGTATTGGTTTTGCTGTATAACAGTGTGAATCAGCCATAAGCTTAATTTAAGCTGGTTTAAACTCCAAAGAGAAAGCAGGTTATTTATTTTCATCATTAACCCATTCTTATTGATGTGCATCTTTCACTGTGTTTGAACAGTAAATGGGCTTCCTAAGAATTAGTCAAGGAATCAAAATACTTTGTTACTAAATATTGCAACTTTTGCACCACCACCCCCCTTTTCCCAGAGGGAACTGGTATCTGGGGGAGGGGAGATAGGAAAGTAAGTGAAAGCATAGATTGCGAGAATATTTGTAACTGATGATTATTTTTATTATCTTAATTCTAGGTAGGGAAACTTAGCTATGCTTAGGTACATGAGGGAACCAGTAATCCAAGCAGTCATTTAGAATTGGAAATTTAGTTGTGACATTCCACTAACTATATCCCTTCTCGTGGAATTATTGGCTAATTATTGGCTAAGGCAGAATTGTTTCTATGTAGAGAAGAGTAGGCAGGTAGGTCTATAAAACAGTATTTATAATTTAAGAATATTATCATGGTCCAGTTGCACAAACGCATTTGCTTAAACAGTCAACTAGACCAGTTCCTTGAGTGGTCTAAAATCTCTATTTTTTTTATTGAGGCATAGTTAATGTACAATATCATATATGTTTCAGGTGTACAACATGGTAATTCACAATTTTTAACTGTTATAATCCATTTAAAGTTATTATAAAATATTGGCTGTATTCCCTGTGTTGTACAATATATCCCTGTATCTTATTTGTCTTCCACATAGCAGTTTGTACCTCTTAATCTCCTACTCCTGTCTTGCCCCTCCCCCTCCTCACTCCCCACTGGTGATCATTAGTTTGCTCACCATATCTGTAAGTTTGCTTCTCTTCTGTTATAGAGTTTATTTTTTTTAGATTCCATATAGAAGTGATATCATATAATATTTGTCTTTCTCTGTCTGACTTACTTCACTTTAGCATAATACCCTCCCAGTCCATTCATGCTGTTGAAAATGGCAAAATATCATTCTTTTTTATGGCTAAGTAGTAGTCCATTTTATATACATACCACATTTTCTTTTTTAATGTAATCTTTATCTCCTATTTATTTTTTGGGGTGTGCTAGGTCTTTGTTGCTCTGCAGGTTTCTTTCTAGTTGAGGAGTGGGAGCTACTCTTTAGGGGCCATGGGTGGATTTCTCATTGCAGTGGGTTCTCTTGCAGAGCTCAGAGGACACTTGGGCTCAGGAGTTGCAGTTCCGGGCTCTAGAGCACAGCCTCAATAGTTGTGGTGCGTGGGTTTAGTTGCTCTTGCTCTGCAGCATGTGGGATCTTCCCAGATCAGGGATCAAACCTGTCTCTCCTTCATTGGCAGGCAGATTCTTTACCACTGAGCCACCAGGGAAGTGCCATACCATATCTTCTTTATCTATTCAATTTAAGGTTGTTTCCATATCTTGGTGATTATAAATATTACTGCTATAAATATTGAGGTACACGTATTTTTTGAATTAGTATTTTCAGATTTATATATATATATATATATATACCCAGGAGTAGAATAGTAGAATGGCTGGGTCTCATGGTAGTTCCAGTTTTAGTTGTTTTTTTTTTTTTTAAGGAAACATCATACTGTTTTCCACAGTGGCTGCACCAATTTACATCCCCACAAACAATATATGAGGGCTTCCTTTTTTGCACACCCTCTTCAATAATTGTTATTTGTGTTCTTTTTGATTATAACCATTCTGACAGATGTGAGGTGATAGCCTATTGTGGTTTTAATTTTCATTTCTTAAAACTGCTACTTTAGGAGTAATCAACGTATCAGTTGTCATCATGTCTCTAAGAGATCCCGCTTGCTAAACTCTTCAAAACGAAGTTTGGTTTTCCCCTAGCATGCAGGCTGAATAATGAATCCTTTTCTATGCTACCCATACATATGCAATTCAGATCAGTTCGGTTGCTCAGTCGTGTCTGACTCTTTGTGACCCCATGGACTGCAGCACGCCAGGCCTCCCTGTCCATCACCAACTCCCAGAGATTACACAAACTCATGTCCATTGAGTCGGTGATGCCATCCAACCATCTCACCCTCTGTCATCCCCTTCTCCTCCCACATTCAAACATATGCAATTAATGATCACCTAAATTGGCTCCTTTAAGTCACATACCCAAACTTTATTGAGGGAGGTCAAGAACGTGTAGAAGACCACACCTTTGAGTAAGAAAATATAATTGGGTATTCTGCCTCTTTTTTAGGTCTCAACAGGGCAAACCAAGGACTTCCAGAACTAGCCCAGTTACATTTGAGAAAGGAATATTTTTTGATAGTGATGAGGTAAGAAAGAACATTAGCAATGTTCATTTATAATCTTTCTTTGGAGTTGCTTAGAGTACTTTATAAGCAGGGTCTCACAAACTTCCCGTTGAAAAGCAAAAAGTAGTCAAGATTTATATAGAAAGCAGGTTAATTTATCTAATTTAATGAAAGAGAAACAGAGACATAGAAAAGGGAAGAAAGAAAGTGAAGTCGCTCAGTCGTGTCCAACTATTTGTGACCCCCATGGACTGTATGTAGGCTACCAGGCTCCCCCATCCGTGGGATTTTGCAGGCAAGAATACTGGAGTGGGTTGCCATTTCCTTCTCCAGAGGATCTTCCTGACCCAGGGATCAAACCGGGTCTCCCGCATTTTAGGCAGACGCTTTACCATCTGAGCCGCCAGGGAAGTGGGAAAAGAAAAGGGAAGAGACAGGGACATATCAACAAAGAATCATGGCTCAAAACCCAGGGGCCAGAAATCTATTTTAGGGCATGAGTGAGCATTAAATCCTGACTTAAACTAGATATTGTGATCATTTCTTAAAACAAAACTCCATTGGGTAGCTTGGTTACTTCCCTAGGTTTATCATATTCAAGTAAATTTTCTGGGTCAACTTTTATTTCATCAGCCAGAGATAGTACAATTCAACATAAAGCTAAAAACATACTCTAATCATATTCAAGCTAATTTTCTGGGTCAACTTTTATTTCATCAGCCAGATAGTGCAATTCAATGTAAAACTAAAAACATACTTCAATTTAGACATTTTTACATGTGTGTGTGCGCTTAGTCGCTCAGTCGTGACGGACTCTGTTGTCCCATCGACTGCAGCCTGCCAGGCTCCTCTGCCCATGGAATTTTCCAGGCAAGAATACTGGAGTGGGGTACCATTTCCTACTCCAGGGGATCTTAGTTAACTGCTGGAGACTAATTTGGAAAAAGATGTAATACCTCAGAAAAATTCCCAGAGGCTTTCCCCCCCAAAATTAATTTTTAAATACACTGTAAAAGAAGCCTTTGCATCTTCTCCCCCCAAAATTTTTCCAAGATGTTCATGATTCTAAATGTTATATATTATATATCACATCTGTGAAGCAGGATTTTCAAATGTATTTTTGTTTTGAACCCAGGGACTCCAGTTTTACAATAAGTAGTATAAATTAAATAAGTACATCTTTGGATTTGTCCCCTATTGCTTCCCACCATCACTAAAGGAATGCATGGCATGGCTCTGCTAGTCCTTCTCCTAGTCCTCCTCCAACCCCTGAAAATTGACAACTCCTGGCGTTTTCCTCCTGGAGCATAACACCTCCCTTCACCACACAGTTCTGTTGCTCCTTACTATCTCCCTCTTTTTCATTCACCTTCTTACTTTATTTGCCTGTGCAGTTCCCTTTCTTCTCAATCTCATCTTACCCCATCACCTTCTTGAGGACAGGCGATCTTTAGAAAAGCTGATCCACACACAGGATTGTGCTCTTTATCTAATTTCTCATTAGGCCAAGCCCGAAGGAGGTAACTCAGAGTTTTTTTTATCTCCTTGTGTTCTCATGCCTTTGACTCATTCTTAGATTATCTAGGGCCAGACAACAACCCTGGAGTCAGCAGGAGATGGAACCGGCCCAGCAACTCTACCACCAGGCATTACACTCAAACAATCCACCAGCACCACCACTGGCAGAAAAATGCAAAATGGCAGGCAGAAGGGTTGGGGCTTCCCTGGAGGCTCAGACGGCAAAGAATCTGCCTGCAATGCGGTACACGCTGGGTTTGGTCCCTGGGTCGGGAAGATCCCCAGGAGAAGGGAATGACTTCCCACTCCAGTATTCTTGCCTGGAGAATTTCAAGGCCAGAGGAGCCTAGCAGGCTGCAGTCCATGAGACTGCAAACAGTCAGACACAACTGAACAACTAACACTTCCACACTTCTCAGACAGAAGGGTTACTAAAATTCAATTACTCTTTACTACAGTTCTGGAAGAAACATAAATCGCAAAATTATTTTTTAAAAAATGCAAAGTGCACTGCTATTTCTCTCTTCCTGTGTGCCACCCCCCAGCCCAGCAAGCAGTTATCCCCAGGACTTTCTTCCACTCACAACCCTTAAGTTATTGTCCTTCTGTAACTTGCTTTTCTCCTTAAAGATTGTCCTTCATTTTTTTCCTTCCCCTTCTTTTTATCTGATTTCCTTCCTACAGAAATGGGAAAGGCAGAGGAAAGAGGTGTAAACCCTTGGGGTGTTTTGTCTAAACTTTGATGCTGTCCTTGTCTATTTCACCGCTTCACCTCCTAATGACCTCTAACATTTCACACAGCTGGTCCACATTTCCATATACAAGCTGCTCTGTCAGGATGCCTTAGAACTTAGCTCTGCATGTTATGGCTCTCATTCCAGAAACCCAGGGTGCAGAACATGAAGTTCTTCTTACTTAATTTGAGTTAGAGACAAGATTTTAGGTGGACTAAGGTGGAGTAAGGAATGGAATATTGTTTAGGATAGGCACAACTTGAAACACTAATATTTTGTTTATTTTCTCTAGGTTATTGATGCAGTCGGGCAATCAAAATTTGTTCTAAAGAACCTGCACCATTACACAGTCCATCCAAATTTGGTAGGTGATAAAAAGCATTCCCCCACGGTCTCCAAGAGCAAGTTTCAGCTGTGGTGCCGAGGCCCAGTGCAGAGAATAACCCAAGTGCCTCCAAGTGCTACCAGCTACTGTGACTGTGCATCCTCCTGGGACCAGGAAGCAGAGCTGTCTCAGAGCGCTGATGGGAACGGTGGCGAGGGAGGAGGGTGGGGCTGTGAAGAAAGTGGGCCCTGCAGCTGACTTTTTTCTTACGTTGAGAAAACATATGTCTCATTAGGAAGTATTCTGTTTTCTCCCTCTCCCTTCCTCCCTCTCTAGTCCCCTGCCATCCCCCTACTGATGGAAAAGCAAATTTAGTGGGCCTCCCCCTTCCCCTACCACATCTAAAGTGACCGGCTCTTTTTGTGACTGTTTTTCCTTTTTGACATTGTGCTTATTCTGCCTTTAATGTGGTTGTGCCTGGAGAAACGTTGGTGGGTGGGAAGAGGTAGATGAGAGCTGTGTTGGCCTGCTCAGGGCTCCCTGGGCTCAGAGATTTGATACCTCATGGTCCACTCTGCCACAGCCTTGTAGAGAAAGCCGTTTAGGTTTAACATAGAAACTTCTGTTGGCCCTATTGTGTTGGACACAATGTTACACTTTTTCACAAGCATTAAGTCCTCTCTGTTCCTTTTTATGTGGAAGCTTTCCCATTTCATTTCCCCAGCCCCTTGGTGGATTTTCAGGAAAATGTTCTGAGAGGAGAAAGGGACTGAAAGCTTCAGACATTTTCTGTAAAACAAGTTTTTGAGCAGATTTAGCCAGGCCCTGTCCAGCTTCTCTGTCCCTACCTCATAGAGGCAAAAGATTAGCTAACCAATCAGTTAATCTGCCCTTGATCTAATCCCTTTGTCTCTCTGGAAAACTTTCTGTCTGCTCAGGCCCAGTACTATGAGCCTTTGAAGCCCACTGCACTGCAGAAATTCCTGGCTCGAAACAGGAAAATTCAAAGCTTCACGTTAAAAGTAATAGAGTATGATCAGGATAAGACCTTACTGATTCTGACCAACAACCCACTTCCCTGCCTGATAGATCATCAAGGAAAGGACATCACACCTAAATACTTTTCCAATGAGTTACTGCTCAAGGTAAGAACACCTGGGGAAGTTTCCTGGCATCATGAGTAAGGATCCTGAGGAATTAGCAGTTAGCTTGAAGAAGGGAGCTAACTTAACATGGAAGATGGTACTCAGGACCAACTACTTTCTTCTTATTCTTTGCCACATGCTTCACCAAACAGAATCTGAGGGCCTGGGAAATACTCAGAATCAGAGCTGTACAAACTTGGGACATGAAACTTCATTCATTGCACAGAGAAAAGAAGGTCTTAGTAAAAAAAAATTGTTCTTCCTTGATCAAAGATATTTAATTTGTAACTAACAAAGGGTAAACTAGCCACTGGCTTTCTAATTGAGTATAAAGTGCTGTGGTTAGTTGCTCAATTGTGCCTGACTCTTTGTGACCCCATGGACTGTAGCCCACCAGGCTCCTCTATCCATGGGATTCTCCACGCAAGAATACTGGAGTGGGTTGCCATGCCCTCCTCCAGGGAATTTTCCCAACCCAGGGACTGAATCCAGGTCTCCCACATTGCAGGCGGATTCTTTGAGTATAAAGTAGCAACAGATAAATCTGGAAATGACAAGTAAGGAACAGAAATGAATATCTAAATGGGAAAGAGTTATGTTCTCCACCCAGAGCTCTTGGGTATCAAGAGGGAAGAGGAACAGAAAATTTACTATCACAGCAGCCAGATATCTGGGGCTCTGTTATAAACTGTTGTTGTTGTTTAGTCGTGTCTGACTCTTTTGCAACCACAAGGACTGCAGCCTGCCAGGTGCCTCTGTCCACGGGATTTCCCAGGCAAGAACACTGGAATGGGTTGCCATTTTCTTCTTCAGGGAATCTTCCTGACCCAGGTATTGAACCCACATCTCCTGCATTGGCAGGTGGATTCTTTACCACTGAGCCACCAAGCAAGCCCAGGACAAATGCTAGATACCTGCTAAGCTAAGAACTAAAATATAAAGGTGATTACAGTACAGTTTCTATCTTAAAGGAATTTGGAGTCTAACAGGAGAGACAGATCAAAATGAGATATACAAAGTAATTATTAATATAATATACTATAATATGTGAGTAATAAAAGAATATACAAGATATACTAATATACAGTAGAGAACAGTATCTTTGTTGGAGGAAAGGAAATAATCAGGGAGGTTTGACAAAGGAGGTGAACCCTGACCAAAAATAAAAGAAGATATTCCAATCAATGGGAAAAGCAGAGGCATAGATTCATGAGAAAGTGAGGTGCATTTAGGGGAATGTAAGAGAGTAAATGGTGGTACTGGAGAAGACTCTTGAGAGTCCCTTGGACTGCAAGGAGATCACACCAGTCAATCCTAAAGGAAATCAACCCTGAATATTTACTGGAAGGACCGATGGTGCTAAGGCTGAAACTCCAATACTTTGGCCACCTGATGTGAACAGCCAAAGAGCCGACTCACTGGAAAATACCTGGATGCTGGGAAAGATTGAAGGCAAAGAAGATGGCGGCAGAGGATGAGGTGGTTAGATAGCATGATGGACTCAACGGACATGACTCTGAGCAAACTCCAGGAGATGGTGGAGGACAGAGAAGCCTGGCATGCTGCAGTCCATGGGGTCACAAAAAGTCAGACATGACTTTTCAACTGAACAGCAACAATAAGAGAGTAAATGGCAGGAGTTAAAAAGTATAACCAAATCTGCAGTTTAGAAAGACCTTTTATGGAAGTTGAGAGAAAAGTATATTAGTTGCAGAGGAGATAAAAATCACAAAGATTAACAACGATCACTCAGCATTCAAAAACTAAGATCATGGCATCTGGTCTTATCATTTCATGGCAAGTAGATGGGGAAACAATGGAAACAGTGACAGACTTTACCTTCTTGGGCTCCAAAATCACTGCAGATGGTGACTGCAGCCATGAAATTAAAAGACACTTGTTCCTTGGAAGAAAAGCTATGACAAACTTAGAGAGTATATTAAAAAGCAGAGACATTACTTTGCCAACAAAGATCCGTCTAGTCAAAGCTATGGTCTTTCCAGTAGTCATGTACAGATGTGAGAGATGGACCATAAAAAAGGCTGAGAACCAAATAATTGAAGCTTTTGAACTGTGGTTCTGGAGAAGACTCTTTTGGACTGCATGGAGGTCAAACCAGTCAATCCTAAAGGAAATCAACTCTGAATATTCATTGGAAGGACTGATGCTGAAGCTGAAGCTCCAATATTTGGCCACCTGATCGAAGAGCTGACTCATTGGAAAAGACCCTGATGCTGGGAAAGTTGAAGGGCAGGAAGGGAAGCAGGTGACAGAGGATGAGATGGTTGGATGGCATCATTAACTCAATGGACATGAGTTTGAGCAAGCTCCAGGAGATGGTCAAGGACATGACTGAACAACAACTATATTGTTGCTACAATTGTCAAGGTGAGACATGCTGAAGAATTTAATTGTCAGCTAAAAAAGATAAACAACATGAGAACTGTGAGTTAAGTTTTATTTGGGACAAAATCAGGACTGCAGCCCAGAAAAGAGCACCTCAGATAGCTCTGAGAGACTGCTCCAAAGAGGTTGTGGAGGAAGGTCAATATATAAGATTTTGGTGAAAGGGAAGTTCAGTGCAATCAGACACTTATTTTACAAAAGGTTTTCTGCTAGTCATGAGGGGCTAATGTCACCATGAAGGGATTTAGTTCTTTTCTAGATATGAGGAGAGGCAAGGATTGGGATATATAGTCAAAGCTTTGGTTTTTCCAGTACTCATGTATGGATTGAAGAACTGATTCATTAGAAAAGACCCTGATGCCAGGGAAGATTGAAGGGAGGAGAAGGGGACGACAGAGGATGAGATGGTTGGATGGCATCACCAACTCAATGAAGATGAGCTTGAACATGCTCCAGGAGTTGGTGATGGACAGGGAAGCCTGGCATGCTGCAGTCCATGGGGTTTCAAAGAGTCAGGGACATGATTGATAGACTGAACTGAACTGAACTGAAGGACTGGAATCATTAGATCGGTTCCTGAAAATATCTATCTAAAGACCTGTTCCACCAGTTTCCCTGGAGCACACAGTGGCTCTCCACCCTGATTTCTCTTCAGAGTGTTGAAAATCGGAAGCCACAAAGCACAGGATTCAGTCTCTGCAGAGGCAGGTGTAAATGCCCCTGTTGTTGTTCAGTCACTGACACATGCTCTTGGCAAGCACCAATTTGCACTTGACAGGCCAATGTCAATTTGTAGTTGACAGAACTAAATCAATAACAGAGAAAATGAAGAAAACCAATTCAAGATATATTTAGGAATCATGATCTAAAAAAGATCTTTAATTCCCTGGCAATCCAGTGGTTAAGACTCTGGGGTTTCATAGCTAGGGGCCCTAGTTCAGTCTCTAGTCAGAGAGCCAAGATCCCATAAGCCTTGTGGTGTGGCCACAAATATGTGTGTGTGTGTGTGTGTGTGTGTGTCTGTCTGTCTGTCTGTCTGTCTTTCTTGTAAAAAAAGATCTTGACAGCCATAAGAGTGGGCCTAATATAACTGCTGCTGCTGCTAAGTCACTTCAGTCGTGTCCAACTCTGTGCAACCCCATAGACGGCAGCCCACCAGGCTCCCCCGTCCATGGGATTCTCCAGGCAAGAGTACTGGAGTGGGGTGCCATTGCCTTCTCTGCTAATATAACTAGAAGAAATTAAATAAGTGAAAGTGTTAACAAAAAATCTAATTATAACATAAATATGATGCTGGGAGTGGAATTACCCAAGATAGACCATTATAATAACATGTGGTTAATTAAGAGTTAGTATTTCCTCCATTGCTAGATGGATGACAGTAAAAGATTCCTTTCCAAACGGAGGATAAAATGCTAACATCCAACAGTATATGCTGACAAGGGAGTTAATTGATTCATTGCCTATGATTTCTTGGGTCTCAGAATTTGTGCCATTTGAGCATAAGCTCAGTGATTGTTCTCCTGGTAGTGGGTAATATACACTGAGAGGAACAAATGCCAGGCCAGGGTTGCCTTGCTCAAGGTAGAGAAGGAAATACAAGACTATCATGTAACCTTGGTGTAAGAAGAGCTTCCTTCCAACAGCTGCCACTTTGTGAGCCTTGCAGGTCACATGCGGGACCTGATCCTATTCATGAGAAAATTGCAGTACCAGCCAAATTGTATTAATAGACAGTAGTAAGGCTTTGATTGTCGAAGACTGGCAGCATGGTAATTTTATGGGGAGATTTGGAACAAGTCCAAGAAGATGGAAATGCCCAATATCTAGAATGCCTCTTGAATATTCATGCTGCATCCCTCCTTGTCTTATTAGACAAATATGGCAATCTTTTGTGAGCCTAAGACTATACACAAAGGAAGCATTCTTTTGTTACATCCAGACATGTGTATAAGAAGAGTGTGGGTGTTAGCAATCAAGTTGAAGAATGGACCAGACATGTCTATCACAGTGGTTGTTATACTCACAGCCCTTTCTAAGTAACATGGCCCTACCACAGTTTGTGAAGAAAGGCCATATTCTAAGTAACTAGACTCAGTTTTCTATGCCTTCCTATAGCCTGCGGAGGACACTAGACCCAGGGAAGTCAATCTCATAGGCTGCTTAGTGACCTGTGCTATAGGTTGGTGCTGTTAAACCAAACCACCAAAGACTGAAACCAAACCAAAACCAACTGAGGCCAATTGGTGCTGTTAAACCAAACCACCAGAGACTGAAACCAAACCAACACCAACTGAGGCCAATTGGTGCTGTTAAACCAAACCACCAGAGACTGAAACCAAACCAACACCAACTGAGGCCAATTGGTGCTGTTAAACCAAACCACCAAAGACTGAAACCAAACCAAAACCAACTGAGGCCAAAAGCTTGGCATTAGTGCACTGGTACCGAAGCGAATCTCAGAGACAGAATTTTGGGTGAAATAGAAAAGAATAGACTTATTGCTCTTGACTAAATAAGATGTACTACTTAAAGAGTTGTGAGTTAAGGTTTATTTGGGGCAAAATGAGGACTGCAGCCTGGGAGGCAGCATC